GAGCACAGCAATGGTATAAGCTGCTCTCTGTGAAAGAAAGATTATTCTGGAAGCTAATATGAAGCATAAGTAAGTGGATTAAATCCCCTGGATCCCCCCTGCAGGAATAAACAAAGGAGGGAAGAGACTTAGATGACCAGCTTTAGCATTAACTGAGATGGCCGCCAATTTTTAGTTTGGGCCAGAGCTGAGCAGAGAGGCTTGAGAATGGAGCTCCAGGGTCTGGAAACTCTGTCTGGGGATTTTGGCTAGATAACATAGATTATTAAGCTTCGGAGCCACCCAGTCTGTGCTGGGTAGATTCATTTTATATGAACTTCTGATTACTTTTATCATTGTATATTATATATGGATTTATTCCTGGAAAAGTTTTTAGAACACATTATTAAGAGGCTGATTAATGGGCACTTAGGGAAGTCGTGATCACTAAAAGCCAGCATGACTTCATCAAGAATAAGTCATGTCAAACTAACCTCAGTTTCTCTTCACATAGGGTAACTAGACTAGTAGGTCAAGTGAATGCCATAGATGTAACTTATTTAGAGCTCAGCAAAGCATTTGGCAAAGTCTCAACTGCTTTGCTTGTGGATTAGTTGGAGAAATGTGGGGCAGCTAGGTCCACAATAGATAGAGTGCTGTCCCTGGGGTCAGGAAAATCTGACTCTGAGTCTTTTGACACTTATTGGCTGTGTCATCTTGGGCAAATCACTCTCTGTACCTCAGTTTCCCCATGTGTAAAATGGAGATGATAATAATAATAGTAAGTATCTTGTGTGAAGATCAAATGAGATAATAATTGTAAAGTGTTTATCATAATGCCCAGCACAAGTAAGCACTGTATAAATGTTAGCCTTTGGTTACTAGATACTAATGCAATTAGATCTATTTGAGATTGTTTTAATGGAAGACCAAAAGAGGAACCATTAATAATACAGCATCAGATTGGAGGGAGGTCCCCAGTGGAGTAACTCAGGGATCTGTCATTGGTCCCATGTTAATTAACATTTTTATTAGTGATTTGGTAGTGTACTTGGAAAATTTGTAGAGGAGTCAAGGGTAGGAGGAATAGCTAACACACTAAAAGACAGCATTTGGCTGCAAAAAGTTCTATACAGGAAAGAATAATGGAAATCAAGTAAGGCTAAACTGGAAAAGGATGAATGCAACGTTTTACCCTTGAGGTCCAAAAATCAATTTCATCAATGGGGGATGGGGGAGGTATGACTAGAAAAGAGTTCCTATGAGAGAAAAAGACATCAGTAAATTTCAGTATACTGAAACCCTAGTATCGGCATGAGGTAACAGTGTGACATGGCAGCCAAAAGAGTTAATGACATCCTAGGTTTTATTACAAATGACATAATGTCTAGATTAGAGATTTTTTACCTTTTTTTGATTTGTGGACCCTTTTGGCAGTCTATGGATCCCCATCACAGAATAATATTAATTTCATAAAATCAAATATATAGGCTTACAAAGGAAACCAAAGGCTAGTGACAATAAAGGTACATATGCACATATGTATATATGTATCTATAATGTGTGTGTGTATGTGTAAGTATCCCCATCCAAGTTCATGGTCCCCCTGACATCCATGGATCCCAAGTTAAGAACCTTTGGTCTAGATCAAGAGACGTACTGTGAAAGACTCTGCCCTGCTTGGACTGTATCTAGATATTATTCTGTTCTGGACATCACATTTTAGGAATGATACAGACAAGCTGGAATGTGTTCATAAAGGGATGACTAGAATGATCAAAGGATGATAGAAAGTTTCATATGAGGATTGAATGGAGGAACTAGAGATGTTCAGCTATAGAAGAAAAGACTTAGAAGAGGAGATATGATAATTACCTTCCACTAGTTGAAAGGTTGGTATGCAGAAGAAGATTTGATCTGCTAGTCTCTGGAGCAATGGTTGGAGGTTGGAATTAGTCTTGATGTGAGGAAAAATCTTCCTAACAGAAATATCATTGATTCCCCTTCATTAAAGGTTTTCAGAGATTGAATGACTATTGGTAATTTTATAGAGGACATTCTTGGTTACGTATGAGACTGAATTAAATGGTTTCTCAGGTCCCTTCCAACTCTTAGCTGGAATCTCAGACTCCTTTCCCTCTTATGAATTAACTCTTTAAACATACTCATGTGCTACATGTATTGGCAGAGAGGGAGAAGGAAAAAGAGGAAAAGAGTTCTAGAGCTAAACAAGATGGTGGTTGGAAGATGAAAGGAAAACAAATGGTAAGAAGTCAAGATATGAGCAGATTATAGGGCTTAACAATTTCTTAGGCATTCATTGAAACCATTGGTTCAGAGCCTCTATTATGGACCCACATGTTCATAATTCAAGTGAGAACCAGAGTTTCCTAATCTGTAGTGGTCTAGATCTTATTTTTAACTATTTTCCCCAGGTATTGAGGGTTTCCAGTCCTAGAAAGATTGCATAAGCCTTCTCCTTTCCCTATTCACTTAGTCCTTTCCAGATAAGTCTGTTACTAATCTATTTAAAACACCCACCAAAAAAATGAGAATGAACAATATTAGATCTAATTTTCTCTGGGGACACTTTTGTTCCCCCAAAAAGAGTTTGCCAACATAGAATCTCAGAGCTAATAGGGTCTGAAAAGTCACCTAATTCAACCCCCATCAAATGATCTACAGCATCCCAGGAAACTGGTCACCCAGCCTGTTATTCTAAACCTATACAAATCTCCAGTTAATGGACTATCTGGAGGATGTGTTTGAGTAGGAAAAATATTCCTTTTCTCCCTTGCCTACTGCAGGAACCTGGTTCATTTCCAACCATTCAAGCCAGAAAGTAAAATAAATGATATTCATGTCATTTTAGTGGTATGCAGTGTCCAAACTCTCACCTGACCTTCCTTACCTTTGCAAGTGACTCTGAACCTGCTCAGGGCTCAGAGTCATCACTGAGGGAGAGAGGGTGGGTGCATACATCTAATATTTAACATGAGGAAGGATCATTATGGCATGCAGAGAATCTTCTCCATGTGTATGCAGTTTGTTTCCTTAGCTAGACTATAAGATCCTAGAGGGAAAGAACCTTAGGAATCCTGTCCTGTGTATCCCCCACAGCACCTAACACGAGCTAATGGGAAAGAACAGGTGCCTGGGAATAATCTTTTTTTGTGCCCTTACTCCTAAATTCATAGCACACAGTACAGGGCCCTGCACCTATCAGGTGCTCAGACAATGCTTCTAATGAAAAATGATGAGTCGTCTCTCATGTACAGAGATGATATTGACTGACTTGCTCAGAGAAGACTTGACTCTGAATGCTGTGATTCTAATAGCAGGGACAAGTAGCATTGAATCTTCCATACTTTATTGCTGGGTTCCAATAGGACCTATTTGCAAAGCAACTGACCAGGGTTAAGGATTTAATGTAGGCATAAAACTAGAGGCGGCCATAGAGTATATGCCTTTCTAAGTGGATATGTCTGATCATGTGTCCTGTCTTCCAAAGCTATGTTGAAATGATTGGAAGATTTCTAATTAGATTACATTATGCTACCTTTTCTCCCTTCCATCAATATGGACAATGAAAATTAATCACACATTTAGGTGCTTTTGCAAAGAACATATAGCTAAGTTCACCTGCAAATAGGATCTCTTTTCTTAATTCACTTTACCCATATGGCTATAAGAATACATAACTTACGGAATCACTGTGGCCTAAGAAATAGCATTATTCCTTGGTATAGCACAGTCCTGGATGCTTTGTCATAAGGTAATTTACGTAAATTTATCCCTGGCTAGCATATGGCAATACCTCACAACTTTGTTAATGGAAACTTGGTGATCCATAACACTTGTGTGGTAGACATCTGCTTGGGGGTAATACAGTATTAATGTTAATATCAATGATCGATCAGCAGATTTGCAAGAAAGGCATAAAGTATTTAATTATAATTGCATTGGGAATAGCTATGTAATGGTAGCGACATTTGAATAGGTCACATCCAGCCCTCACCCCTGTTATGTTGTTCTATATTAAATGCCATTCACTTTAAGTGCTAGAAACCTTTCTAAAGTGGTGAGAATATAATACATGGGGAAAATTGAAAAATGTCCCTTCACTTTTAGAAACATGATTGATATCCTTTGCAAAACAAATGTTAGCACCTATCTGTACGCATATTCCTACAACTGTGTGTTCTGACAATCCCAAACACACCTTCCTTACTAGGCAGCTTGAATGACTGGCTGGCTTACAAATTTGTTAGCTGTAGTGAGTTCATATTCCTATTGGAAATTCATTATTTTTCTGACTTCTCTCCTTTCAAAGCGGCTGGAACCTACTGTATCCAAATGTTTACATAGCCGGGTTTACATATCCCAAGAGTTCTACCCTAAACCCATTTTCACTGGTGAGAGAAAGAAGCCAATTAACTATGAGCACAAAGGATATAAAGTAAATTGTATTTGCTCCATTGGCAACAGAAAAATATATTTCCAAACACTCCATATACACTTGTTTCCAGTACAGACTACATTGCATTGTCACCATCCTGCTTATATATAGCATAATTAAAAATAATGTTTTTGGCAAGACAGCAACTCAGATATAAATATAGCTATACGTACATCGGAGTGCAGACATAAAAAAACCTCACAAGACACACATACACATACACCCATCATCATTCTGACAACATGAAAATGTCACATGGTCATTGAAAAATATTCTCGGGAACTTGGAAGGCAGGTGGTGGGAGTTTTTCTGGGTGGTATTGTTGCTATTTTTGGTTCTCTTCTAAATATGTGTCCATAGTTCCTGCTGCTTTTCTAAGAAAGAAATCTCCAGTGGATTGTGGAGAAGCACTTATTCTTGCTAAGGTGAAGGGCTTTCTGAAAACTCATGTCATTTTCTAAGAAAGAAGTCAGCAAGATGTTGGGATTTTTTGAGGGGGTTGTAAAGGCAGTACAGTAGAAGCATCAGTAACAATTTTGAACATAAAAAAGACAAGATCATGCATTTTCACAATATTTTATAAATGCCAGTGGTGATCTTTCTTCATCTGAAAATATTAAGAGTATGTCAAGTGTCTATATACAGCATGAATAACTTAATGAAATGTCAGACCTCCCATCTCAAAATTCAAGCTATCTCTAAGACTATCTTTTAGTTGGTTTTGGTTTGTCCATGTCAAGTTGCCTACCTTCATTAACTTTGAGTGCCTTTTCCTGAAGCCTGAATTTGCTTTTGAAATTGTGTCTCAAGAAATTTAGGCTCTCTATATGTGTTGCTATTTGAGAGACTAGCCTAGAGTTGGACCTTGCAAATCATGTCTAGTGTAATCCATGATACCCTCCAAATTAAGTTATGGACAGCAAATAATTCTGTAAAGATGTGTTTGATAAAAAAAAATGCTGAGTGATCAAATAGTTTCATGTATATGATTGTATTTTTCTAAATGCTCATCTCCCACAGTAATGAAATAATTTACATTTCAAATGGTGCATACCATCCTAATATTGATGTCTATAATTATGCCAGTCTCTGATTATCCACTTCACCAAAATGGAAAGGACCTTTATTCTGTACCACTTTGGTGGCTGATAACAGGTGGGATCAATGACTTCATATGAATTGACCACTTCAAGCTAGGGTGTAGAAATAACTCCATTCCATTGTTTTGTCAATGCCTAAAATTCTAAGCCCACTTTAATCTCCTTTCACCTTGTATAGAACAAATTGGAGAGATTTCTTAAGCTGCCACAATAACACAAGAAGACATTCTCTGGCAGATGGGTTAGGGCATATCTATTAGGTCTTATCACATCATCCACCAACACTGACCAAAGTAAATAATATTAGGATGTAACTTTGATGGGGTAAAATGAAATTACACATTACTGTTTAGAGTTTACATAACTCTCTCATCCAGTTACCTAAACAGCTATCAGGAGATTTTGTTAGGGAATGGAGTTAGGAGCAATAGTGCTAAGAATTAGAATAATCAAATATTGTCCCAATTGGTTTTTTTTAAAGGAAAACAATGTCAGTAGGCCAACCTGTCTAGCACAGCCATGCCTTTCTAACTCTGGTACCTAACAGTGCCTGACACATTTTTGTTAAATTGAACTGAGTTGAATTGTTCCATGTTATAGGTTCTTTCACAGGTGAGTATCTTTTAAGGAATAAAGCCAGTTTCACATTTGCATCATTCATGAGATCAAAAGTCTCCCCCCACCCCCCAACAAATGGATTTAAACATTAAGCACAAATCAATGAAATCAAGCTCCTGGTTTTGATGGAACAGCTCAGCTTTTGTGTGAAAGGTTGGCTTGATTGCACCCTTCCAGCAGGTGACACAGGAAAGAGGCACAACAATCTTACTAACTGGCAGCTGGGGGTTATAGAGAAGTCTCAGAATATACTTCGTTGCCTGAGTGTCTCACATTGTCCAAAACTGGAGGTTAATTTGTTGAGGCTCCAGTAGATGAACTTTATTATCTTGGGTACTGAAGGGCGATCTTAGGGCAGGCAAAGGATCGGGTGATGAGAGGATGTAATCAATGCTAAATTTAATTTCTGAGTCAGATTTTCCAAGAGAAGCATTGCTTAGGTTCTGTTGATTGGAGAGGCCATTTGGAAAGAATGGAGAAGGATCTAGGTGAGGGGCTCTGAATTCGTGTTTCTTAGTTGTGCCCTCATTCAGGTGGGTGCCCTCCGAACATGAATCCATAGTGGGCAGATCAAGGGTGGAGGGCCCCAGAGTCCCACCTGACTTCTGGTCTTTAGGTTCCCTTTTCATATTTCTCCTTCTACGCCTTCTCCGATAGTTCCCATTTTCAAAAAGATCCAGCATGGACTCACATCCTGAAGCGAAAGTCCAATAGTTTCCCTTCCCCTTCTCATTCCCTTCCATCCTGGGGACCTGGATTTGTGAGAAAGGCAGTTCAGTGTGGGTATGGTTCGCAGATGCTGGCACTTTGCATCTGTGTTCATTTAAAGTCACGATTGGTATAAACATACAAGTCATTGAAATCATGCCTCCCCCTCCCCACCCCCTAAATTGTGCAATTCCTAAGTAAAGCAACGACAACAACAAAAACCAACTCTGGTTAACTTGGTATACATTAATGGAAATCAGACAAGAAGACCCTTAACTTTTCAACAGCTGGGAGGGAGAGAGCTCTTAATTATCTAGAGTACAATCATAGGATTTCTCAAAAGTAGCCCCCCCTCCCCTTGGGTTTCAGCAAGAATATTTAAGACAGATGTTTCCTAGATAGAAAGTCATCTCAGGGCTGCTGCTGTTGCCGAATAACGGGCCTATTCGAAGAGACTGTGATTAATCTTCTTACCTTTACAAAACAACTGTTAAGGGATAGGTTATGCCTAATGGAGTTTTGCCAGGCTCTTTGGTTTGATCTGTAGTAAGGGAATTTCTTCATTATAAAGTCATAAATGCCAGACAGCGTCACTTTATTGGCAGGGCTTTGCTGGATGGCCATTGCAATCAAGGCAATGTAGCTGGAAAAGAAACTCAGGGTTAAGCCATTGCCTGGGATAAAGCACTAAGTAGCCGGAGGGGCGCCTCTCTGCTTTCCAGAAGCGCTGCGTTACTATGGGTTTGGTTGGAGGACCAGTCCTGCAAAAAAAGTCTCCTCCACTCTTCCCACTGAGACCCCCTCACTTGGAGAAGGAAGGTGTTTCAAGGGAAGCTCCGGGATGCCTCTTCCACTGAGTGACCCAGCCACTATTCAGAGTTCCCTAGTCTCCACCAAGTGCAAACGTTTGCCTTCAGGGAACCTGGCGCATCCAGCCTGTTCTCCTGCCCCCAGCCCTTGGCCACCCCCTACCGCCTACTGCCAATGCCCGGGGAGCACCGGTTCTTTTCTCCTGCTCCTGACCAACCAAGATCTCCCCGCCCCAGGATCCCACTAGCATCTCCCTCCAGCCAGGCCAGGGCCGGACTTGGGGGGCGTCGCTGTTCTCTCTGCCTCCCCCGCCTTCCATCATTAGTACCACTTTGCCCCAGAGCGGAAGACTTCGACGAAAACTTCTCGGCTACCTGTAAGCTGGGCGGCTGAGTTTCTTCTCCTCGTCGGAGCTGCAGGCGGGGTAATCATCACCGTCGTAGTTGAAACAGTTGTAAGGATACTGCGTGTTATCGAACATCTTTCTCGCAGCCGGGCTCAGCTCAGCTCAGGCAGGGTGCAAGAGCTGGTGTGGGGTTCTCCCTTAGCTCTTCGTCCCTCTCCTCCCCTCCCTCCTCCTCCTCCTCCTCCTCCTCCTCCTCCTCCTCCTCCTCCTTCTTCTCCTCCGCCCTCACCCTCTCCCTCTCCCACTCACATACTCTCCCAGACCAGGGGTGGAGGTTGTTTTTGTAATTCTTGAATCCCAGAGTCTGTGGGGATATTTCTTTTTTTCTCTCCCTCCCTATCCACCCCCCCAACACATACACACACAGACACACACACTTTGCACAAGCACACACTTTATGTGAGTGTATGTGTCTGTGTGTGCATCCAATCTGGTTATAGGGGAGGTAGCTAATAACCGATTAAATTGGTTACTTCTCTCATGAACCTTTGAACCCCCCTGGCTTGAACAGCCAGTAGCCAAACTCAGGAGCCCTGGGTGGTCTGATGTAGAGGTGGAGAGGGGCCAGGCTTTCTTCCTTTTTTTTTTTCTTTTTCAGATCATCTCGATACACAGTATGACAAAAGGAAATAACACTGACATTAATATATCACGCTTTCAGCTTGATTTTTGCAAATTCAAGTTTTAGGATCCACTCCCCCAAAACACACATACCCTGTCCCTTCTCTACACCCCCTCTCCATCCTCTCCCTTCCCCCTGCTTGGCTAAGGAAACATTCACACACACACCACTTACAGTCGGCAGACATTCCATCCAATAATGCCCAACTCCCGAGATATAATCTGTAATACAGCATAATAGACATAAATTGTGTTTCCGTGACTAAAGGAAAAGCTATATGTTCAAAGAAGACAGAACAGAGAATCCGGGAGCCTACTGTCAAGCAGGAAAGCTAAGGGAAAATAGCTCCCGGCTGGAGAACTGCTTGTGTGGGCTTTGATCTGGGGGGTGAATTAGAGTAATAGCCCTGTGTGTTGGCATCCAATACTGTAACAATTTAATAGTTTTTCTGTGCTTCCGAGTGTTTTCCAGCAAGTGATGTAAACCAAAGTCATGACAAAGGTTCGGGGACTCGAAAAAGGTGTGTGCCACAAGATAATCAAATTATGCCAGGCCTTCCATATTCCAGGGAAGCTGTAGGTTTTTGTTTTGTTTTTTTGGGGGGGGAGCGGGGGAGACAGGGAACTAATATGGAAACAGGAAAAAAAACATTCCTGTAAAGTTTCTCAAAAGAAATTAAAAATGAGAATAGCATGAATGTTAGTGAAATGAAATCATTTCATGGGTCTATAATAAGATTAGAGCTGAAAGGGACTTGAAAGGTCCGATACATCTAACTCTCACATTGATGAATGAAGAAACTGAGGCCCAAAGAGACAGAGTGATTTGAGCAAGGTTAGACATCGGAACAAAATTTAGGTCTACTGTCTCTCAGGTCAGCATCCAGGAAAAAATACCTGTCTTTTTTACTGATCAACTAGGAGGTATGTTAATGAGGGCAATGGAGAATGAGGCAGGAGGTACAGAGCCTGTGGGAAGAAAGGGGGCAAACTTGGGAGCAGGGGAGTCCCTTCTCTTGGTGCCTGGAAGGAGTAGTAAAAGGAGCTAAATCTCCTGCTCTCTCACTTGACCCTTGACTTCAGAATGTCCCTGTTTGTACAGATTGACCAACTGGATGCTGTCATCATAGTTCTGGACTACGGTAGGGACGCTCACCTTCATCAGTTCTGTAGCATCCTTTTAAGAAAATTTCTACATCTTTCTAAGCATTCTGTGTAGTCCATAAACAAGCAGTAATAGTCCTGAACAATATGAAGGGGGGCATGTGTGGAAGAGGGAGAAGAGAAAACTATAAGAAAAATATGTAAAAGTATCTTATGTTGGATAAAGCATTGGTAAGAATGCAAACACTGGACATAAGTCATAAGACTTAGGTTCAAAAAGAGGTTATGCTACTCACTACCTGTATCACTTAACCTCTCAGGACCTCAGTTTCCTCATCGATAAAATATAAGGAGTTGGATTAGATACCCTCTAAGTTAAGTTCCCTTCCAATTTTAAGTGTTATCTAAATATATTTTTTAAAGGGCACAAATAATTTACAAAAGATAGCCACAAAAGTATTGTGACTCTTACTATTAACAAATACTGCAAAAATAATGCAAACCTTTAGAGAACAAACCCTAAAATAATGCAGACCTTTGGAGAAATAGTTCAACTCTTGTTTGTGAGGCTTCAGAATATAAGGGCCTCCAACAGCAATCCCATAGAATTTCAAATATGGGAGCAGCACTTTCTTCCACTTCCAAACAGGCTGCTCCTCAAACAGTGAGTCCCAGATAACAATGAGTCCGTATTTACTTAGAAGAAATTTTCAAGGCCAACATGCAAATTCAATTTTAATCCTATTTTCCAAGTCAAATACCATTGCATCTCTTGTAACACTGACCTCAGCTTGGCAGAAGAAAAATAGTTGTGGCATATGCTTCTTGTATCAACACTGCATTCCATTGAAGGGAAACACTTTTAGCTCTTGGATTCCTGATTGTGGTAGCCAAATGTGCAAGAGTTGCAATTACAGCATGTGGTGTCTGATGGGTCATCTACTGTGGGTTCTCTTGTGGACATGCTGTCTCCAAATTCATCTTTCTTGAATACAACTTTCATCATGTAGCTGACCACGGCACTTCCATGCTCAAGAGGCTTCAATGGCTCCCTGTTGCTCTTGGGATCAGAAATAGTACACATTCCTTAGCTGATCAAATAAAATAAATGCCTCCAAATTTTTTTTAAATAAAAAAAAACCCCTCACTGGTGGCCCTTCTTTGGAAGCTTCCTGGTATGCTTTTATTGTGAATGAGATTATCTTGCACTTTTTACAAGTCCTATATAGGTGATTTTGGGGTACAACCACATAATAAACTTTGCCTAGATCTGTCAGAAATGAATGAGATGAGTAGAGACTCTTGATTTTGCATTTATGTGTTATAAATCTGTACTTAATCTGCAGAGAGTAGCAAGAATGGCTTTTAGAAATGAAGGATTTTCAGGTCTTTGGGGTTATCGCTTGGGACCAGAATGTCTATGTGGTATATAGTACTGGTAACAGTCATTTAAAAAAAATTGAGGTATTCTTATTTTGAGTTTTCAATCAAATTAAAAAAAACACAGCAGCATAAATTTGTTTATTAGCAAAAACACTTAAAAATAAAGCTTTGCTTTTTTTTGTTGTTCAGCCATTTGAGTTATGTCCACCCTTTGTGACCCCATTTGGGTCTTTCTTGGCAAAGATACTGAAATGGTTTGCATTTCCTTCCTCAGCTCATTTTACAGATGAGGAAACTGAAGCAAAGAGGTTGAAGTGACTTGTCCAGGGTCACACAGGTAGCAAGTGTCTGAGGTCAAATTTGAACTCAGAAAGATGAATTATCCTGACTCCAGGCTCAGCCACTGTGCCACCTTACCTGTCCTAAGCTTGTCTTACCAAAACAAAAAATAATAATCCCTTAATAGTATATGGAATGGGCCCTGGGGCCCTGTTCATTTCCTTTCATTCTCTCAGGAATGTTTGCCTACAAAAGTCCTAGGCACCTTTAACTTATGTAGGCTTAAACAACATTAGGGTGATAGTTTATGATAGCCTAATGCTGGGTTTTTTTTAACCCTGCAAGTAGGACATCAGTACCTTTTTCCTAGGCTAACTTGTTTCACTTTTAACACTGATTATTAGAGTGACACCAATGTGATGTTACTAAAATGTGGTATATTAACTCTTGAAACTAATTTGTTTTTAGTCTGGTTTCAACTTAATTCACCTAAATATCAGTTTTCCTAACTGATCTCTCCTGATCCACTAGCTTCTTCTCTTGCTGCCAACATGCCCAGATTTCCTAGAGCTTTAAAAAAAACAAAACCTGAATTGGAACTTACTCCCCATTCCAACTATCAGCCTCTATCTCTCCTCCCTATCACAGGTAAATTCTTGAGAAAAACCATGATCTTTGCCTCCACTTCTGCACCTCTCACATGCTCCTCAACCCTTTACATTTTGACTCCTCTCACAACCACATGATAGAAGTCACTTTCTCTATGGTCACCAATGATCTTTTTTTGCTCAATCCAATAACTTTTGCTCAGTTTTCATCCTTCTGAATCTTTCTGTAGCTTTTGATGCTTTTTGACCCCCTTTCTTTATACTGTCTCCTTTCTAAAGGTTTATGACACTTCTCTATAGTAGTTCTCCTGTTTTGTTGGCTGAGCAGTCCTGCTTAGGTCCTTTTCTGGATGATCAAGCATGTTCTGCCCTCTATTTATGGGTGTGCCCTTAGGCTTTGTCTTGGCCCCTCTCTCATCACTCTCAATACTCTCTTGATGATCTCATGGGCTGTCATGGGTGTGTTCTCTTGGTGATCTCATCAGCTCTACCCCAGTTAACTCCCAAATGGCTATATGGAGCCCTTGAGATGCAGGCCAACAACTCCAGCTGCCTAGTAGACGTCTCTATGTAAATGCCCCACGGCCACCTTACACTCAACTCAACACATCCCAAACACAACTGATTATGTCTCTCCCAGAATCCTCCCTTCCTCCTAACTTTCCTATTTCTGCTGAGGGGCATCATCATTCTTTCAGCCACACACATTCACAACTTGTGAATCATCTTCAACTGTGCACTCTCAGTTAACCCCCACCAATATCCAAACCACTGGCAAGTTTTGTCCATTCTGTCTCCAAAACATTTCTTGCCTCTTTCCCCTTCTTTCCACTAAAAAATCCATCACTCTGATAATTCAGGCCCTCATCATCTCTTGCCTAGACTACTTCAATAGCCTCTCTTTTTCCATCCTCTCTCTATTCCAAGCCATCTTTCAACCAGCTGTCAAGTTGATACTTATTCCTAAAGCACAGGTCTGATCATGTCACAGGTGCTCAAGAAACTTCCAAGGCTCCCTATTGCATCCATAATAAAATAAAAAATTCTGTGTCTGGAATTTAAAGTCCTTTACAATTATCTGTCTTAGTGGGTTAATTACACTGTACTCCCCTTCATACACTCTATGTTCCAGGCAAA